AGGAAATCCTTGCCTTGTCGAAAGGCAGCCATCCTCATTTACTACGCACCAAGGTCATACCTGCTGGAATTGGCGGTTTCGCATAACGGGTCACACTGAAGATTGCTGAGAGCAGATCATCGTTCAGAATTACCGTTATGTACTCCAATCAAATGGCCCGGACGTTGGGTCGTGGTCGACACGGAAGATGACGCATGTGGGGAAGGGGGCACACGAGGCTTTACGTTTATGTGCACGTGACGACGAGCATCGAGTATAAAGATGCCATAAACATGGCGACTGATTGACCAGAAAATGACGGTCGTTCAGGGACAAAAAATTTTCCCAGCACGTCGTGGTTGATCGACGGGTGGCCGGCGAACGGACGACAGAAGGACAGTGAACTGCGTGTACGCGGAAGCCTTTTCTACGCGTCCCGGTCACCGTCGTTAGGGAAATCAATAATAACTTGAGTGCACAGACTTTTCAAAAAGCGGTCGAAGCGACTGCAAACCAAGACGTCGGTCGTCGTCTCGGCAGCAGTCAAAAAGTGGCTCAAAAATAAAAGGAAGACAAGCCGTTGATGTTGGTCGTCGCCTGGCACTTTTTTCGGCGAAGTTTTAAATCGAAAGCTAAACCGGTGCTTTGAAATCAAAGCGTCGCGGAAGTGCCCCCTGTTCCGGTGTATTGTTAGTGGAAAAGAATCTTCATAAACGTGAAAGGCATTTGGAAGAAGAAACCTTTTATGTAATGGAAGAACAACGAATTTTCGGCGTGCATGTTGCTTCTAGATCGAAATGAAATGTCCTAACAACTAAAAACCGTACTTTTCGCTTTATGACAGTAGGCTTCATCTAAAAAGTTTCTTGTTCGCTTCGCTGAACAGAAAACAATCTATGATGTTTTTCTAGCAACACTTTTCAGAAGAGCGAAATTATGCAATATTTTGTTTCTATATTTTAAAATGGATTTAATTTCTCCAATTTTAAGTATTGCAAAGATTGTGGCAGTGTGCGAATCCAAAACCTGTCAATGACCACCGTCAGTTCTTCTTCAACCTTATTTTCTCCTTCTGGTCCAAAGCTTTTATTTTACTAAGATTTGTGAGTAAAAACTTTAAAAACAAGTTCACACATCCATTTTTTGTAAATTCTTTAAAAAATAAATTTACGCTTACACCTTGTGTTTACTTTTAGTCAGCCGTCCGCTGTGCCAAGGCAAATTACAGCCGTAAAGCGCACTCATCAGACAGCATAACTGCGTATCTCCAAAGCACCATGCTGGCCGCATTATTCTTTGGTCAGCGACCTGCTACCTCTTTCGGCTGTTTGCATCGAAACACAACGGAGTAAACTGCTTATTGTAAGGGAGTTAGGAGCTGATAAAAGAAAATTCACGCCGCATAAACTATCGTGCAAAGAAGCCTACTAATCGATCCTACACCAACTGCTCCGTAATGCCCATTTCTAACGATTATAACAACGAAACAAACTATGAAGAAGAAATTTTATGGGAAGGAGAATCAGAGGCATGGTTCCTTGTATTGCATGTTTGTTGAAATTATTACCATGATCCATTTGCATAGGTAAAACGTCTCTGATTTGTAATGTCCGAGGTTTCCCAGCATTACAACATATCTGCTACGAGGCCACCGTTACTGCGTCGCAGAAGAAAACGTTCCTCTCCAATACCAGACTTGCCTCCACCCTGTTCCTCCATGTCACGTGCTGGTCTTCTAATCGATGTTTACCGTGGTTAGCCTCACATACGAGACGCTTGTGACGTGGAGTAGTGGTTCTTGCTTGACCAGTTTGTCTGGCAGGGTTAACATCCTCTCCTTAAACTCCGCATTTGCTAAGGTCCCCTGTGACCG